CCCGTCCCCTTCCCAACCCATCCCCCTCGCTTCTTCACTGCCGAGCTTTAAGCTCTCTGCAATGGCTTTTCTCGTTTCGCCACCGGTTCGACAACAAACGGACCGGGGAGTTCTCTCTGCGGCGTCTCCTCTCCCCATCTCTCTCGTACAATAGCTACTTATCGGCAAGGGAAAGAGTGGGCGAGTTAAAATTATTCATCGAAGAAAGGCATTTAGGCTCTAAGTCTTGCTCGATCAAATTCCAGGAGAAGCTCTGTAAACGTTTTTTGATTCTGAACGAGTTCAACGCATGGAAAACGATTTCGTCTCAATGGCGCCATTTGTGACCGCCGAAGTCACGAAGCACAGAGGACAGGGCTTTTCAGGGTGTTGTTTTCAGAAATGACACGACTTCTTAAAAACATGTCAACGAGGAGACGCTAATGCTAGCGCCTATTACTTATCCGCCAAACAGCGTCAAGACGGCGGCAAGTGGTTCGCGACTAATTACTCCCGCGGGAGACTCCGAAACGCGACGTCCTTTCGCGAGGGGTTGGCGCCTGTGCCCTCCCTTCTGGCGGTCCCCTCTCCTTCGTCGTTCCGACCGATTCGTGCAGATTCGTAGCGATACGGCTGAGAATTCTAACACACTCTGAGCGCTGGGGATTCGGGATTCGCGGGTGAGAGAACTTTTGATGACCAACGTTCCCTCGTGTCATCCCCTCCCCCCCCCAAACTACCCCAACCCCTTCATGGTGAGAGCAACCTAACGAATACGTTTCCCTTTGAACATGGGCCGCCGCTTTGGATAGAGGAAAAGTCGACTTATCTCCACATTAAAAAGTAGGTGTACGCGACTACGCGACTAAAAACATACCCCCCCACCCCCCCGGTCGGCCAAGCCTTTCGACGCCCATGAATAGGAATCTTCCTCATTTTTCAAAATAACGGTAGAAAATCACACAAGAAAAAATAATTTGACCAAAAACTCTGCAACAAAAAAGTCGCAAGAAAGTCAAAACAAACAAGGATGTGTGCACCCAGAATCGGGAGTGCGGTGTACCCTTTATATCCTCTGGAGATCATTTACCTTTAAATTATCCGTGAGATGCGATGCCAGCCAAAGTATTGAACGGTGGGTTCCAATCCATTTAGATGAATGGGTAGAGTACAACACACCGGCTCCTAACCTCTCCACACGCGTGCACTTTATACTTCGCATCGTAACGTTTCGCGGACAACGTTCACTGACTTTGTCACTTTCAAGCTGACGCGCGAGTAAAGTAATCTGACGTACGATTGCGTCTAGTTGGTCTAGTTTAGAGAGAGATACTAGTTGCCGTACGGTACGAAGGACAGAGATAGAGCATTGAAAGTGCTAGCGCTCTGCCTTCACGAAGACATAGTACCAATAGGTACTGGCATTACCGGTAACCCAACAGCTAAGGCGTTTCAGTCGTTATTTCCTTGGACACCATAAAAGTGCCATGAGCTTTTGTTTTACCAATGACCCTACCGCATCACGTCCTAAACATGAATAAAAATTAAATAAATCTTAACTTAGTCTAAGCGTTTCGACCGACAAGCCTGCTTTGAATTTCCCGCGTCAAGAACAGCTGGTAATCGTTTACACAAAGTTCTCATACTCATTCATCCATATTTTTCGTAGTACTCTCTCCCAGTCCTCCCATCTGGCACTCCAAGCTCATGTCCATGTGTTGACGCTCTGTCACATATTTTCTTCCATCTCACTGTATTTACCGAGGTACGTTTAAATCTTGACACATTTTCTGTTTCAGTTTCTGTTTTTACTCTTATTCATCCCATAATTTTAAGTTAAATGCGTCTTGTCCCGCTGAACTATAGATTGTTGTGTGAGGTTAGGTTTCCGTCGGCTGTGAACACCGGTTGGATGAAGTAATGTTTTTTGTGGTACTCTTACCTTTTTCGTCAGTTACTTTCGCGCAATTTGATCCCATAATTATATTTCTTTTGACAAGCGTCCAGTCAACCTGTCTTGGAAAGCAAAGGTTCTAAATGTCAGTTGTTCTCACTGCTGTGCAACTACTTCATTGTCTATTTTTATTCACTTGCCTCTTTATTTTTTGAATTTAAGTATTTTAATCGAAATCTCTTTATCTCTTTGTGTTGTTTGTACCTTCTGGTTTACGTTGCGTTCGTTTCCTCATTTAAATAAGTAATTAATAATTCTGTATAAAAAATAATGAATAAGTTCCATTAGAATTTAGGCTTGTATCGCTCTTGACAATTTTAGAGCCGTTTATGAATATTAATTACTTTTTCTGCTGCCTCTCCCTTTCCCCTGAATCACATTAACCAAAATAATTGTCCCTATTAGTTGGCTCCTTTTTCCTCCCTTTGAATATCAATGTAGAATTGGCCACTAGTTTTATTTTAAATTTACAGTATTCTAAGCGTGCACAAAGTGTTTCTTCTTCTCACTACCACCCTTCTACCCTAACAATTGGGAGTAATTTTCTAATCATAGGAAGAGTTTATCTTGCCAGCCTGCATAATATCCAGTCCATTTTGCCACTCTCCTCAATGCCCTGCGCTTGTCCCCTATATTATTGGTGCTTTATGATACAGCATGGTTCCCTTGGATGTTGATTTGGGCCCTGAGGGCATGATCTTCATCCGATGACTGGAGGGAAGGGAGTGGCCTAAGCAAAAGAAGCCCATTTTGCAGTCTGCAGATACACTCTATTCATCTTCATGATTAACTTAATGTGTGTTATTGGCTTTAGCAGGGAGGGAAACAACACGGTGAAATGAAAACCTGGAGGCTTCTGCAAGATGGTCTTCCCCCTGTGTCCCCCATCAACCCCAGACCTGCCCTGGCTGCTCTCATTTGCATACCTACCTCACTTTCTTCTCTTTTGATTTTGATTATAGTCCTTGTCCACACCCCACCCCAGTCACCTTCATGATACTGCCATCATGTCTCCTTTTGATATCACTTTGAATCAATGAATGATTTATATTTACAGTGCAGTGTATTTTGTTTGTCTGTTGCAGATATAAAACATGCCGCCCAAAAAGGTTCAAGAACCAGAGAGAAAGCCTCTCATTGGCCGAGTTGGAACTAATTTGAAAGTTGGAATTGTGGGAGTCCCCAATGTTGGCAAATCCACTTTCTTCAATGTCCTCACCAAGAGCCAGGCGCCAGCTGAGAACTTCCCTTTCTGCACAATTGATCCCAATGAGAATAAGTATCTTTTTAAACATTGATATTATATACTATCTTCCTGAAAATAGCTGATGTTTACTCATTGTCTTCTATTATTCATTTACTGAGATAGAATTGTGTAATTTTAACTGTGCATTAACCAAATTATTTTTTTCTCAGCACGTCGCGTTCCTGTGCCAGATGAGCGCTTTGACTACTTGGTGAATTACTTCAAACCTGCCAGGTAAACACAAAACATTAAAAGGTGTTAACGCACTGTGTATTAAATACTCACCAAACTATTTTGCATTTGCATCACAGCAAGGTTCCAGCCTTCCTCAATGTTGTGGACATTGCCGGTTTGGTGAAGGGAGCAGCTGAGGGTCAGGGTCTTGGAAATGCCTTCTTGTCCCACATCAAGGCCTGTGATGCTATCTTCCACCTTTGCCGTGAGTTTATTATCTATTCTGTAAAAGATGTCTGGCATTCCTTTTTTCTCTCAACACTCCCCCTTCTATTTTTACCCTCACACATCATATGATATGACATAAGTACTTCCCCTCAATTTTCTTACAATCACTTCCCACTCTTCTCTTACCTCCCCCTCTCTCCTTCTCTCACCTCCCCCTCTCTCCTTCCTCACCTCCCCCTCTCTCCTTCCTCACCTCCCTCTCTCTCCTTCCTCACCTCCCGCTCTCTCCTTCCTCACCTCCCTCTCTTTTCCTTTACTCACGCTCATCTCTGTCCAGAAGCAGTTAGTTGATCCCTCACCGGCTAATTTGGGGCTCCGAAATCGATCGTAAAACGTCCAAATGACGTCCAGAAAGTTGTAATTGAAGTATTTTCGCGTCTGGCCGTCAATCTGTTTTGCTAATGGTTTGGTGCCAGCCAAGCCCGACACCACAGCTTAAATCTCACAAGGAGTCCAATCATTTTCTTTATCTCTATTTTTTGCAGATGTAACTTTTTCTTGAAACAGAAAATACTCATAGAACTTGATTTTTTTACCTTTCAGGTGCGTTTGATGATGAAGATGTCATTCATGTGGAGGGTGATGTAAATCCTGTACGTGATTTGGAAATTATCAGTGAAGAACTGCGGCTCAAGGATGAAGACTACCTGAACACAACTCTAGAGAAAATGGAGAGGACTGTCATCAGAGGAAATGACAAGAAGGGAAAACCAGAATATGTAATGTGAATTTTATTTTAAATCTAATCCTTGATGTGTGCTACCAAACATTTTTAATCTAATCTTTTCTTTTTTTTCTTTTTTTTTTTTTAAGGATTGTCTTGTAAAAGTTAAGGAAACCTTAGTAACTGAGAAAAAGTGGATCCGTGAAGGAGACTGGAGTGTTTCTGATGTAAGTGTATTTTCTTAATTCCATTATTGGATCTCCTAACTTTTTATGTACTGGTAGTTTAGAAAAATATTTAAAACTTCTATTACTATTTCTGTTATAGATTGAATATTTGAACAAGCACATGTTTATTACTAGCAAGCCTGTGATATATCTAGTGAATCTTACTGAGAAGGATTACATCAAGAAAAAGAACAAGTGGTATGCACAGATAGGCTTCCCTGATTTGAAAGTAATATGTTCCTAAGTCTTGTGTCAACTTTGATTTAATTTGAGTTAATTTGCATATTTTACAGGCTCATCAAGATTAAGGAGTGGGTTGACAAGAACGATCCTGGTGCACTACTCATCCCATTCTGTGGTACATTTGAGCACAAATTAGTTGAAATGGAAGATGTGGAACGGGAAGCCTTTTTAAAAGAGCAAGGCGCTACCAGGTAGAGCTTACATTTAAACATGCATCAATTACCTTGTGTAACTGTCGAGAAAGTGTCACATAAATTGAAATTTTCAGTGTCCTGAGCAAAATTATTGTCAATGGATACAAGACCCTGCAGCTTGAATATTTCTTCACGGCTGGTCACGATGAAGTAAAAGCATGGACCATTCAGGTAAGTTACTGTATTTGTTAAGCTGTAATTTTATAAACCTTTTCATTTCTTAACTTCTAGTATTACTCTTTATTTTGTTTTGTATCTAGAAAGGAACTAAGGCACCTGGAGCAGCTGGCAGAATTCACACTGATTTTGAGAAAGGGTTCATTATGGCTGAAGTAATGAAATTTGATGATTTTAAAGAAGAAGGTTCAGAAGCAGGATGCAAAGTAAGTTATTTTGCATTCATATTAGAATTATTTTGTCTGTTAAAGCAGCACCTATAAATTTTCAAAACTAAAATGTAAAATTAAATTATCCAGGCAGCAGGAAAGTACCGTCAGCAAGGCCGCAACTATACAGTTGAGGATGGTGACATCATTTTCTTCAAATTCAATGCTGGTGCTGGTCTTAAAGATGCTAAAAAGAAGTGAGATAGGTAAGTATCAATGTGATGCTCCATGTCTGTCAACAATATATCTATGCTGATAATAAATTGTCTTCTCATTTTGTTTTAGGTTTTTTTGCACCTACGAAAATGACCCAATTCATGAAATTAATTTAAAGATTGTTGTTATTTTGTGTATGTTTTCAACTAACTTATTGTGTTGCCAATTATTGATGTAAATGATGTAATATCTCACTCACAGCAGGACTGTAGCTTCTCAAATTTGGTTTTTAAAGGCATTGGTTCAATCAGGAATTAAGACAACAAAATAAATCTTTTTTATTGCCCGATGGTTTTTGTTTGTTTTTTCTCCTAACAATCACTGTTTATACTTATGGCACTTCATCTCTCGACAATATGAATACGAAAATATTCGGGTGTATGAAGTTTCGTGATACCATTTATTTTATAGTTTTACTCATTCAGTAGAGAATGAGCTCTCTTATGAATAGAATGAGCTATTCTGTCTTGTCCGGCTTCGTCGGGAATGGGAATTTTTTGAGAATCTTCAAAGTGTTGCAACATTAATCTCTGTTTGGCCCATATATATAGTTCATACTCCAAAGCTAAACGTTTCTCTACTTTCCTTCTTATTTCAGGTTTGAAATTGGATGTCTTCTTTCTGTCCCAGTTGACGTGCGGCTCTGAAACGAGATGACTTATAGTAGTTTCACGACTGTGCTAGTTTCATACAATTCTCTATGCGTTTGCCGTTCTGGCTACGTTACCATGAAGTTGATGCCGATAGACGTCTCTAACGCCTGCGAAAAACAGAGGCTGGCGGCTCTCTAGAACTGCTAGAGTCGCGTTGAGCTCTTCTAGGATGCCCACCACGGGGAAGTACTGGTCCATGTTGGCCTTGGCGTGTTGCAGGGCCCAGGCGCCATTCCCACTCGCAGACCTACGCAGCGCAAAAACTGAGTCAGTAAAAAGATACGGTACCATGGCACATTGCGTAGAGTGGCTTAGTGCCCCTCGCGCCTCCGAGGTAGGCAGCCCAACCGACGCGAGCGGGGCGTAGGCGGCCTACCTGCAGCGACTGTCCTGGCCGCAGAAGTACGGCGTCTGGGGCGCGAACCACGCGCACTCCGGCCGCCGCTCAGGAGACTGCAGGCACCGCTCCAGGATGTCTGGCAAGTCCACGTCGATGCCTCCCACCTCCGGCACGCGAACCTGCGGCCTGTTGAGGTGGTTGTTGTCCACCGGGGTCGTGGCGGTGGCAGTGTCCCTCCTCCTCTTGGAGCGGCGTGTCGCTTGGGTTTTGGTGGTAGACTCAGCCGCGTGGTAGAAGCTGTTGACAGAACCAACATGATGAGTGGCAGTAGGAAAGATACACATTTTAATGAGTGCGTTTGCAGCCTTCGATCGCCTTTATCTCGGCAGCGAAATTAAGTCAATACTTGCAAACGGACTGAATTTATAGATGTACCGGCCTATTGAGATTAATTACACTAAAAATTAACTATGGTCTCCTTCAAGTTCCCGCAAATTTTAACCGTGCACACACAAATCATAACCATTCTTCAAAACGAATGAAAGACGCCTTTGTGTTCAGTGTTCTTAACTCACATGTCGTCACCCGTCCGATGGCAGTTATCGCTTTGCCAAAGGCCTTGCAGCCACAACCATCCACGCCGTTTTATTGTTCTGTCTGAGAGACTCACCCGGCTAGAGCGCGGTCCACGGGGTCCCGCAGCAGGCTGAGGTACGTGGGCGACTGACGGTCGAAGGTGGTGAAGTTGGTGAAGAAGACGTCGCCGTGGAAGGCCACGGGGAGCGCTTCCCGGCGCAGGCCGTCCGTCACCCGGGCCACCAGCTCCTCCTGGCGGGGTGCGAACAAGCACACGTGAGTCCCCGGGCCTAGCGCCTGCGGACGGCGGGGTAGGCAACCGTCTAGCACACGCATGCGCGCGTTGCCTACCTGCCGGGCGCCCTGCGCCGCCCAGCTGCTGCTCCTTCACGCTCACCCACCTGCTCGGTGGAGGCCAGGCGCGCGCCTCTCAGCCGCGGGGGCAGCGGCAGCGGCAGCATCCGGAAGCCGTTGGCGGCCTGCAGCCGCTGTAGCAGCAGCGCCAGCAGCTCGGAGCCCGCCTTGGGGGCGCGGACGAAGAGCAGCGCGAAGTCGCTAAGGCCGTGCGGGGCGAGCGCGCCGGCCAGGCCCAGCTCCGTCAGCGACCTGGTGACGTGCCGCGGGGCGGGGGCGGCGCTGGCGGCCTGCAGCAGCAGCGGCAGCACGGGCGGCGGCGAGGCGGCCGGCCCCCAGCGCAGCCCCAGGCCGCCCAGCGTGGCGAAGCACACGAAGGCCAGGAGCGTGGACCAGGCGAGGGGCGCGACCAGGCGCCGGGGGCCGAGGCCGCGGCGGGGCAGCAGGCGCAGCATGGCGACCGGCCGGCCTCAGTCCTCGCCGGGGCGGCCAGGGCGTGCCATCGGGCGCGCTCGGCGGGCCTGCAAAGGGAAGCGCACCGTGTGTCATGTAACGTAAAAGTGAAAACACACGCACGCCTGTCCTGCCTCATTCCGCCCATTCCGGACCCGCATTCCCGCACTGGTTCTCTGCCCGTATAGCGCGCGTATAGCGCACGCTGCACTTCCCACACTCGGCTCCCCCAGAGTGCGATAATAACCGTGTTGATCGCGGTGCCGACAGGCGACAGCCCGCCATTGTCTCCGCTCCCGCTCGCCCCTCCTCCGCCCCCACTGCCGCTTTTGTGTGCAGAGCAGAGCCCCGCCGCGGAAGAGGGCCCTTCCTCCCATTGACACTACCGTTCAAACTCACACCTCCTCACAGGCGTGCGAAAACAGAGAACGGGGCTCATTCTTTTCTTGTTTTATTGTTACTTAGCAGTGTGTGCATAGATGGCTCCCCGCGATAAAGCCGCTGCTGCAGCGGTCGGGCGGCGGTGGCGCCAAGCGCGCCACATTCTCAGGCGCCATAGAGCAGCAGCATTGGTCCATATGGGCCAGTCGGGGGGCGCAGAGGAGGATCACAACTCAAGAGTTGCGTTGGCGATTAGTTTTACTTCTTTTTTTCCCCCTACTTTTGGAGCCTGCGCGGCCCGCAGGGCAGGGCAGCTCGTGCGTTGGTCGCTCGTGCCTCGGGGCTCCTGTCCCCTGCCGAGGCTGCCCTCCCGGACCTGCGCGCTGCTCCACGGGTGGGGACACCGATGCTCTTTACCGCTCCGGCGCAGCTCTCCTCTTGCGCAATACGTGATCCCCCGCATGCGTCATCTCCCCCTGTACATCCGTATGTACCTCCCTTCCCTCTCTCTTACTCTCCCTCTCCCTCCCTCTCTCTCCCTCCCTCTCTCTCCCTCCCTCTTACCCTCTCTCCTCCAGAGAGCCGCTGGACGTGAGGTGGGCATCAAATGGTAGCTCTGCTATATGGTTCTACTACTTAACGTCCCGCACGATAAAAGGCCTGCTCTGCCCGACACTCTGTCGGGCCCCTACAACGGCGAGAAAGCGGGGCGGGGCGGGGCGGGGCGGGGCGGGGCGACCACACCAAAAAGCACCCGCGGCTATTAAAGGCGTGGAGGCACACGACTATCAATCACCTACTCAACTCGGAGTGTCTGTGCGGGCGCGCGCGCGCGCTCACGAGCTCTGGTAACCAACCCCCCTCCCCCTTCAACCTTTCGCCTCCTATACGAAAGTAATTTTCGAGTGGCCAGGGGAATTAGTCGCTTCGAAAAGCGACGCAATTGCCAAGCAAGAACATGATCCGTAATTATATCTCTAGGGCTGCGAGGTACGTAGTAGTTCGTAGTATGGCGGCTGGGAGGGCGTGAGGCTCGAGTCTCGTGCGGTCAGGGCTCTCGGGTCGCTGCGTGCGCTCAAGTCTCCGGCCTTAACCCACCTCTGAATGCGAATGCGATGCGCTCCGAAAAAAACAGCACGCCGTGCGCTGCAGTATAGTGCGATTTCAAAAGCCCCCCTGGTAACGATTCCTCCGAGCTCCAGGGCAAACAAATTAACGCGACTACATGCACACTCGCCGCGTTCATCATCATAGCCACCAAAACTTTTCCGAAACACGAATGCGCACCTTCGGGCGGGCCCAAGCCCAACTGCCCAACCCGACCCGCTCGCCGCCCCCGGCTCGGACACTCGTTTTCTGGGCGTGTAGTGCTCACTCTTTCGTCGTCGCCGTCGGGGGCCCAAACCTTGCCGCGGTGTGTTCGGAGAGTGGCCCGCCCGACTAGAAGCCGCTGCAGCTCGGGCCGCTCTAATGTAGGGCCGTCGCTTTAACTTGCAACATCCACGCGCGCCCGGGCGGCCGGGTCCCGAGCATGACCGGCTGACCTCTCCACCGCTCCCAGGCCGGGGCGTTTAGGGAAAGTCAGGCTGATCGCACCGAACGGGCGCCGCAGCAGCGATGTCCTCCCGGGTCGCTCCTCGCGCCGGACCGACCCTACCCCGCCCCCGCCCGCCCCGGCCGCCGCGCGAACCGGCGAACTGCGCGCTGACATAACGACGCAATAAATGAGTGTGAAAGTTTGGGATCCCTTTTCCTTCGGGGTCGGCAGCCCAGGCTGACGACGTCGCCGGCGACGGCTGGCTTCCCGAACCGATTATCTGGGGCCGCGGCGTGTTTCGATTCTTTTGCCGTTTGGGAGTTTTGTCGCCAGCGAGCGAGCCGAGGGGAGGGAGGGGAGGGGAGATGACAATGAATGAGGTAATCAGGCAGAAAGCGGCCGCATTAGTGCGTGCGGACTCGGCTCGGCGGCGTGGCGTCAACGTCAACCTGCTCCCGCCAGCCCAGCCCAGCCCAGCCTCCGTGACGCGACGCTTTAGGGTAAATAATTGACAGCTAGCATGCGAAGGAGCGGCGGCCGGGCGGCAGGCGAGGCTTTCGCCACCGCCGCTGCAGTGCGATCTACTCCCGCTCCTCCTCGTCCTCCCCCTGGTCCTGGTGGCAGCGAGGGACCCGCCGCGGAGGGACGCGAGGACCACGAGAGGAGGCAAGGATGCCCAGAGCCAGGAAGAGTTGGTCCTCCAGAGATCTTCCTAAAGGAGGCCGTATACTCGTTGTAGTTATGAACTGGGGAAAAGAGAGGGGAGCAAGTTAAGTGCAACGTCAGTTTTTCATGTTGTGGGTACCTTTCAACGAAATATTCACACAAACATCATCACCGTCAATATCACCTTCACCGTCACCATCGCACCCCTCCCCTCACCCTTCCCTCTCATCTGGATCGGCGCCCTGGGATCCAGTTCACTGGAAGACCCCCCGCCCGCCCGGGCCCATCTGCGCGCCGGGCTCAGCGGCGGCTCGGCTCGCAGCAGCCTGATGATCGCCCCGGTGGTGCAACGCCATCCCAGCTGGAGCCTGCCTGGACCACGACGTGATGTATGGACCGCTCCAATTAGGGTGGGGCTGTCGGGAGCGGGAGAGAGTAACAGAGAGACAGAGGGATAGGTAGGGAGAGAGAGAGATGGAGCGACAACAACGGTTCGCGCCCCGTCGTGCGTGGGCGGGCGTGGCTCCAGCTCTGATTGAGTCAGACCCGCTGACCTGCAGGCGAGCAGGGCGCGGGCCCGCCGTTGGTGCAGGTCCTGCGCCCGCACCCCGGCGAGACTAGCTAGACGGACAGGCGCGGCCAGGGATCGCACGATCAGAGAAACGAAATGAGCGAAACAACCGCGCGGCTCGCCTAGCATTGCGCCTGCGCACGACTGGAATACACGGGTGCGCTGATTCGTGAAACCCCGCGCAGACTCTTGGTCTCGGTGGCATGTCCACTCTACTCTCCCTCGCCAGGAAGTATGAAGTATAGAACACCCGCCGCGCCGCTTACAGCACGGGCGGCTTAGAAAAGGTTCCCAGGGTTCACTCACACACACACACGTGCTCACGCGACCCGACCGAATGTAACTTGTGCAGCAGCGGGCTCGCGAAAGGGCAAAGCCGCCTCCAAGTCTAGGAGCCGTGAGCAAATACATGCAGTAATATGGTGCAAGTGTATATGGCGTGAGGCGCCCGCCCCCCGCGTCGCGCACCGGCTCTGGCGCTCTGGGTAGCCGGCAGTGAAGGGAAGTCCACCGGCATCACCTCGCTGAACCCTCCTCCTCCCCC